AGTTTAAATATCCCTAAAACTTGCATCTCAGTGATAAAAGAAATACATATTTGTTAATCGTAGTTATTCTACTAGCGTAAATAATTTCAGCAAAAATCGAGAGAAAGACATTTCATAGATGTTTCTTAATAATAGAAAGTCGCGCTAATTTATATGGTGTTACAATAATTGAAGTTTGTGTTTGAAATATAGAAAATAAATCTTAAAAAAAATAACTTTTCACGGATTTCTTTTAAACTCATATTTTGTGTATTTCAAAGCACGGAGATTGAATCTGCCTGAAAAAGTGTTGTCTGCATTATATTTTAAAAATACAGTAGCTTAAAAGCCCGAAATAAACAATAATTTGATTGATTTTAATAAATATTTATAAAAATTTCCAAGCAAAAGTATTTTTCTTTTTATAGATTTACGTTTCGTGTGTCAGTAAAGAGGGATTATCTACTCACGTGTAACATGCAATTAACAAAAGAAGAGTAAGGATTATAAGAAGAATAATAGGTTTATATATATATATATTAACCTCTGTGTGTAAGTAATAACTGCTGTAATTACGTATTATACATAAGTAGATAATCTTTTTTACTGAAATATACAAAATGTAAACCTGTCTAAATATTACTTCTGCTTTGAAAACGTTTTCGTTTTCTTCATTAAACAACAGTCATAAGAAACATGAGCCCTAGAAACGAATATAGCTGGTTAGAAGTTTTTAGTAACAATTTTAATTATTATATTTTAATCGTAATATATGTGTGTATATACATAAGAGAGGCCGGGGCTAATTACACAGGGCAGGTAGGTACATTTAACACAACTCTAAAATGACAAACAATAATGCCGCATAGAAAATATAATATTATCACAAAAACATTGTTATGTTTTAATAACCATTTTTAGGTTGCACAGCATATTTTCCATATATATGTCAATTACAATATATAATTTTAATATATATGCTTCGTACCAATATACAGTCTGTTTGATAAGAGTGTGTCCGACGAAACTTTTACCTATAAACCGTTATACAGGAAATTCCAACGGGAGCAAGTGGAGGGAGTTTTCTCCTAGGATACTTTGTAAAGAAAGCCTCAGTTATCATTCGGCCTTGGTGACAGAAGGACGTATTTCGCTATGAATGTCACATCACGATTCAAAGCCATATTTATCTGTACACATCCGAAAGGACCGAAAATGTTGCTCGAAACAACTGCTAAACACATGAAAAAATCGAAGGCATATGTGAATGATGTTGTATATTTTGTGTCTCATCTTTAATTGCGTGGAACAGCGCCCGTAATTTTTATTTATAACACAGTCAAGTTACCAAACGGATATTGCAATATTACTATTGGATTGGATAAGTGATTATAGATTGGATAAATGAATATAGATTATGAAAATATTTCTTTGTGATTTTTAATGTTAAAAAGTTTTAATAAAATATATAACTTAAAATATTATCGCGTAAAATGAAGAAAATCTCTGGTTTATTCTTATTTTTCTTTTAAATAACTGATCGGAGTACTATAACGATTATTTATGTTTACTTTGATTTCTACAAATATTTACTAAGGATGCGATCTAAATGCTGAAAATGCCTTGGAGTGCCGTATAGACCAATCATGGCTTTTCTTTAGGCACTTCAAAATGTTCTCCAATCAAATGTGCGCAAAATTTTAATAATATTTAATAATGCATTGAGCTAATAATAATGTACTCGTATTCAATGGCCTTAATCTAGCTTTGTAATTTAATTATATGACATAGACATTACTTTAAATCGCAACAATTATATATTTTTTATATGCATTGCAGCATATTGAACTTTTTTTCATTTTGACATTTAACGAATATTTTTTTGAGTTAGCATAAGGCACACATTATTTGATATATTGAATTTTATTGCTTTTGACTGAATTTTTAAACAAGAAATGTCCAGATTAAGGAACAAATTAAACGTCGTGTTACACCGTGCGGTAACGTGTCTATAGAAGTTAAGAATGATTTTAAACATATAAAACAAAAATATATTTTCACACATATATAACGTGCGATTGTTATATGAAATGATGTAATGACTATGATATTGGTATTCGATAGAAGTTACTCAACAATATAGAAGTTATTCCCAATATGGAAATGCAAACTTTTTACATTTGTATATTAACCCTAGAAGAATTAAGAGATTTTATTAGTAGTAGTAGTAGTATTAGTAGTACTTATTTTTTATAGTATATTCATAATATTACTTCATCATATTATGTCAATGTATATCATGTAATTACATACATATACTTGTTTCCAGAANATTCTGGAAACAAGTATATTCATAATATTACTTCATCATATTATGTCAATGTATATCATGTAATTACATACATATACTTGTTTCCAGAATGGTTTGAACATATTTTTTTCAGCTCATTTTGAGATGCATCTGGCATCCAATAAGAAAGTTTATCTTATAAGAATTACTGAAAAACAAATCCTCCCATTGGACATAGGCTATATTCTAAAGTACATCACATAAAACGTGTTCAAACCACTCTGCAAACGAATATACATTTGGTTTCAAAACGGTTTGAATTTTTTTTCCGATTAGTTCAGAATGCAAAAATGGTGATTCAATGAGAGAACTTACTTTTCTAATATTAAAAAATATTTTTCCAACGAATTATCCTATTGGACTATCGTTTGCATTCTGAATTGCATAGAAAAAAAAAGCGTTTAAACTGTTTTGAAACTCAGTGTATATGTAATATCACGTGAATAGATTGCTTATCATTATGTATATGTAACCTCGTGCAAAAAGAGATGTATATAATTATATGAAATATGATATTAATAATTATAGAATTTTCAAATGACGTATTTTTAAATTAATACGGCCTATCATGTTTAACATTGTCATTTGTAATTTTATTTGTGACTAATTTTAGTATAAAATCTATAATATAAATATAATAGAAATAATAAAAAATTGACAATTTTTATATCAAAAGACAAGATTTATTTTCAAGTTGAACTCGTCAATATATCGTCACGTCTGATTGTCCAAATCTCACCAGACCAATAATATTTTTTCTCTCTTATACTAAGCCCTATTTAGAGGACTATAGTCGCCTTGGCAAACGCGAGTTGCTGATCTGTTGTCCTTTCACCTACATCGAGATGCCTTTCTCCAGGATATGGAGTGGAGAAAGCAATTACTAATAATCCAAAAGTGTACCACTTCATTATGAAAATGGACAGCACGATACGAGTTTTGCTGCACCGTGATCACTGTTCTTAAATACGTTAATGCATATCATATTGTGCGTTCGATAAACACCATCTAACAAACGGTCCACGATATCTGTATATAAAGGTGTTATATAACGTATTATATTTAAGTTATATAACGTGTTATATTTAAGTTATGTTGCTATTATATTGTTATAACCAGTGAATAACATTATAATAATAAGCATTATAATAATTTTAAAACACAGTTATATTGTTATAGAAGAAGATTAAATAACATCAACATTAACAACAGTTATATTACGTGTTATCTCTACTATATAATAGTTATATTCTGTATTTGTTGAGAAGTATCATGCGCAAAAAACTCATGAAATTATGGGAACTGTCTGTCTCTGAGAAATAATTTCTAAAATAGTTAAATAGTAATTAAATAATCTTAAGTAATTTAGTATAGAAACCTAATAGTTTAAAATTTAAATAATTAGAAAAGATATACCGTATGATAAAATAACATTCTCAGTTATCATAACACAAAACATGCTCATCAAACATACTCTCAAACTAAGGTAGAGCGTAACGACAGAATACCGGCGCCGTAGCCATCGTAAGCCACGTTATCGATGAATTGCTTAGCCAGGTAACGTAAATCGTTGTCTACGTTAATGGCGTGTTCCAACATCTGCAGCAACTGATACAACAATCTACCCCTAGTAGGATATGCATTCACATTCACCTTTCCTATCTTCATCTCCAGGTCGTCCCGTGACAAGAAGCTTTGCAAGCTTTTATACTCGTCAGTATAGATGTCCAGGTCACGCAGAGCCTGGAGAAGATCTTTGACATCTATGCTTGCAATTTTTACACTTTCATCGATTCTCATTCCCGTATGAGTTAAATTAGTTAGATAGCTTTCCAATCGACCGCCGCACTTGGACCGTTCGAGCCTATTATCGTACACATCTACCAACTCAGCGACGTTTGCCTTCAAGATATCAGACGAGAGAATTCTCGAAGCTAATAGAGCTTTCAGCGTCTTCAGTGTAGCGTTTATCGGTCCGCCGATGTCATCATCTGAGGCGAAAGTAAGAGCCTTGCGCCAGTTTGTCGGCCGAATGTCTTTGTTCAAACCTACGTCCGCGAGAAGTCTTTGAATCCTGGCAGAGCTCTCTCTACTTCCTACAGCAGAAAAAACCGTCTTTGCGATCACTTGGTTTCTCAAGAGTCGCCAACGTTTCCGGACGTTTCTCAATACAAGTTCACCATAAATATTATCTACTACGTCGGACACCTTGCTCAGATGGCTTCGATGACGCCTAAGTTGACTAATGAAAGCTAACAAAAGATTCTTCCAGGCTACATGTTCGAAAGGAGAGAATTGTTTCACGATATCCTGCACTTCTGCGCTGTTTTGCTCCAGCACGAACATAAGCGCTGAACCAGCTCTTGTTTTAGAAATTATCCTCTCCCGAGATAGTAGGAGAGTATAATTAAAAACGTTGTTGCGAAAGTAATGGTCCAGCTCGGATATCCTTTGACATACCGCGGGCTTCTTCAGAAACGGTAGAAGGATGTTTGCAGCTATTAGCGTCTCGTTCCTCAAAGGCAGACTTGAAATGGTATTGGCCACTAATTCGTACGGATCAGAGAATGTCTTGAAGTCGAATAATTCACGCTCGCTATCCTGTTGTAAATATTCGACGAGATGCGCAACCGATTCCCTGATTTCCGCCGTTGCGTCGGGTATCCTCAGATTCAACAATATATATGCAATTAGTTCTCGACGCGAAGGGATGATTTTATCATTTATTAACGATGCTGTTTCGCCGATTAATTTTGGCCAAGGTCCTTTAAAACCCTTGATAGGCTCGCGATAATTCAAAGGCGCAACTGCTTCCTGCAATTCTTTCAGAGGGATTTTTTCCAACAGGTCGCTTTTCAGAGGCCCCCAATTGGGCCTATAGATTTCATTAGCATCCAAAACACCTTCCAGGAAGGATCGTTTGAGCAACGATATCGTTGGTATAAGATACTTAGGCAAATTGTTTTCCATGGATCCTAGAATAATGCCCATTTGCTCTTTGATAGATGCATACATCACAGACGGTAAAATTTCAAGACACTCGATCAATGATCCTCCATTTCCGAGATAATTTCCGATGGTCTTTACGGAGTGATAAAATTCGTAATTCAGTACCTGTAAGAAGTGAAATGGAATGAGGTGGATCAAATATGAGTTAAACAATCGCTCAATACGCTAAGCAAAAAGATTATTTTACCGGTAACTCGTGCAGGACTTTCCCGAAATTGTGCTTCAGCCTTGCTGCCGTTTTCAATTTTAACGTCAATTTTCTCTCCAGAGGCGACGAATATCCTGTGGCATCGTCGTACGACTCAATCGTGGTTATAAGAAGAAATCCGAGTGTGTAAATCAATATTCTGCGATGAAGCTGCATTGTTCTTACGATACAGACTCGATTGAACTATCGACAGTATCCGGTTTGAAGTGTATAAAAAGTTTCAGTTAAACATCTGTGTGCGTACGTAGTCATAAAAAGACTTACTGCTTAGCGTATGTATGTGTGTGCGATAGCGTAAATTGAACTTCCACGATTGAGAGCGCTATATGATACGGTATAAAGATTCATGATTATTTACAGACCAGATTAAATCATGATAGTTTTTTGTTTACTCAACGTATAGTTGTATCGAATTAAAACTTGAACTCTTAAACTTATCTATAAAATATCCAAATCTTGGATTTTTCGTCTAACAAAAATTAATTCTAAAAACTTTGTTCTCATCAATACCTAGAAATATTTTTAGTATTGATAGTATACTGGCAAATTGACAGCAAATTTATTTAGAATATCAGAATAATATATATCCTACTGAAAAATTTCTATTGAAATCATAAGTGTTAACTACATGGAAAACACAAGCGGAAATCTCATTGAGAAGTCATATGAGGTTTCCACAAAATTTCGCATGTGAGATTTCCATTGAGATATCATTTGAAATATCATATGAGAAATTAATAGAATTTTATTTTGAATCATTCAAAATACAAAGTTAACATTGTTATATTGTCCTATTAGTCTGTTTCTTTTAACATGTTATACAGTAATTACAGTCTTGAATGGAAATTATAACATTAATATTATATAACTTATTCTCTATTTACTAAAAGTTTTCCTATAAACAAATAATATTCCTAGAATATATATATTATATACTTATATGTATAATTTTTTTTAGTACAAAAAGTATTTTTACACAAAATTATTTCAACTTTATTTATATAATAAAACAATTGATATTGCAATATACTTGGAATAAGAAACTACAATAAATATTTAGTTTAGCCACATCAGCACAAATATCGATGAAATTATGCTTATTCGACGCGTTTTTGCACGAAACGAAAGAATCTGGCAGAAAAAAAGTGTCGCTCTGCCCCGTGAAGCGAGTTATTAATCATCAAAGTTGATGACTTGACAGGTAGGAAATCTGTCATACCGCAACGAAATGTTGCGATATGAGCATGCTCCGTATGAAATCGTGGTATTAAATAAATATAAGTATTAAATCTTCGCCTTACTAGAGTTTGTGCAATGAGTTTGTTTTATACTAAAATGAAAATAGTGAAAATTAGCAAAGACCACTACACAAGGTATATTGTTAACTTATAATTTACTTATTTAAAATATTATCTAAATTTATAATTACTCCATTATTTTTTATATTCGTTTCTATTTATCAGGCATATCTTGCGTATGATAATCTTCACCGTCTCAATTTTAGTATAAGATAGACTCATCACATATACTTTAGTAAGACTAAAGATTTCAGTTTCAAGAGCAAAATAAAAACTAAATATATATTTAAATATATTTAAGTATATAAAAATATATATAAATACATACAACTAAATATATAATATTGTATTGCACATTACACATAACTGCATAAAGGATTAATAGATTTTTAAATTCAGGAAGGTGTTGTAGCAAATACAATATAAATACAATGTAATAAATGTGGTAATAATATGAATATTGATAAAAAAAATAGTGATGTGAACAAAAATGTGTTTTCAATTAGTACTGGTACTTGGTTCCTCACAGGATGTTTCTGGTTGATGTGTGGAAGAAAATTGGTGGATACATTTCGGCAATGATGTCGAAGAATATTTTCTTTGGGCCCATTTCTATGCATTTCAGTCGGCTATAGGCGCGTTTGAAGAGAAATTCAGACAAATATCCAAGGACGTGCTCAGATCCAGTTCCGTATCTTGGAATATTTCCCCGAACTTCTTTCCAAATATGCTCTATATATTATGTATATGCACCTGTAAATTAAAAAATTTATATTACAATATATTACAATATACACACAATGAAATATTAATAATATAATTATGCATGGCAAAGTATAGCTATTTAAAGGAAATAGCTACTTCAAAATAACTATTTTAAAACACAGCTACTTTAAATATTTCTTACCACTTTCGACAAAGTTGTACGAATGGTTTACTGTCAAATGATGGGAGAAGCCTTTATTGTTCAAGCAATTATAAGACTTTCAACAACTGACATGATAGTTTGCCAGTTCCTGGCAAAATCTCTTCCTTGATACACACTAGAAGTGTTTTTTCTGTTCATACTGGAACGATAAAAATCTTCAAATGACATTCGTACCCTCCAAAAATCCAATTTCCTTTGACAAGTCTTCCACAATTATACTTTCATTTCTCAATTTTTGCTTCATCAATTTCTACTGTATGTTCTGGGCCATCAAGCTTTTCGGTATGTTTTTCAGCCCAGAACACACAGACTTATGAGTAAAAATAATATTAACGTTATTTCATATATTACTATACTTTTCTTAAGTATACACAATCTAAGTAATAAAATATAATAACCTCTCTGCAAAAATGAAATCAGTCAACAATCGTGGTTGACGATACACTAATTTCATCCTGTGTGTCACCTTGACGTGAATGTTTTAACATTAGAAAACATGCAATAATTCTGCAAATTATATCTATGTCAAGATAACTTTGAACTTTGTCAAGATATATTTAGTCAAGATAACTTTAAACCAACTACTTATTCTTGCATTTTTGGAAAAATCACATTGCTTGGAAATACGTTTTTTATATATATTTTTTATAACATATCTTTTTCAACATCAGAACGTTAATGTTTTTTTATCAATATTTATATCATTACCACATTGACTACACTTAATTATACTTGCTAAAACACCATGCTGAATCAAAAAATCTATTAATCCTTCTTTATTATATGTAAGGCGTGAAAATTCTAACAGGCCCAACTTTTTTTGCATACGACCTTACATATAATATGTAACTTTTGTGTTTTTCTTTTGTTTCATTGCTTAAATTTTATACACTTTTCACATAATCATAGGTCTGTTCGCTGCACCGCTGAACTAGTGCAATAAGTTGAAGCGAGACAAGTATATGTTTTCTCACTTCAACTTATTGCACTAGTTCAGCGGTGCAGAGAAAACGAACAGACCTCATGTGACTGCAGAGCACGCGAATATAACCACGGAGTATGCTCATATCGCAACATTTCGTCGGTATGACAGGTTTCCTAATCTGTCAAGTCGTCAACTTTGATGATTAATAACTCGCTTCACGGGGCAGAGCGACACATTTTTCTGCCAGATTCTTTTGTTTCGTGCAGAAACGTGTCGAATAAACGCAATTTCATCGATATTTGTGCTCATGTGGCTAAATAATTACCGAAACTACAATTATATATATTATATGTATAAATAGAGTTGAATATTAAAATATATAATATTAACAGAAAACAGACCCTATATATTCTGTATTCTGAATTCTCCTTTATCGATAAAAGTGCCTTTAGTTTCCATTTGTACTATCATGATTTAAATTTAATCAATGATTGGTCTATTGATTCGAACGATCTATTGGTCCGTTCTTTTTAGCTAAACTGGCTGCACTAGTTAAGAAATTTATATACACAATGAAGTATATAAAGCGTACATATAAAATTCTAAATGTGTATTCTCGAATATAATACCAATGTATATAGTTTAAGCACTGATATGCATGGGTTATATATACATTGGTATTATATTCTCGAATATAATCTCGAATATAATCTCGAATATATTCTCGAATATAATACCAATATATATATCAGTACTTAAACCTGTTCTACAATATGTCGGATGTCAGCACGTAGTCGATGGTCCAATGAGATGATTTATTTTTCAAAAATGAGTTTCCCTCATCGACTGCGTTCCGACATCCGATTCCGGCATACGGCGTCATTTTCAGAACAGGCCTTAACCGAGTTGCTGGCAATGCAGACAAGCTTTAACATGTTCATTGCCAATCACGCGTGATGCGAGTTCTCAACAAACGGCCGATCACGCGTTATCGCGTAATAGATATTTAGAGTACATAAATCCTATGTACATAATAATAAAAGCATATAAATAATATATTAACTTATTTTGAGCACAATAAAAATAAATAAAAAATTTAAAAAATTTGGCCACCACACGAAATTCCAATTTTCAGCTTGGCAATGAACGTGTCGTCCGCAGCCATAATTGAGAATGAAAGAAAGATAGCATATCAGTACTCATGGCTGCTGGCATTGAAGGCGAGCCTTTGGGATATCCGCAGCCCATAATTGACAGTTTTATATAACCTCGGCATAAACAGATGTTACATTGAATAGTAAGCAATTAATACTGACAACTGACTATAGTCATATATATATATATATAACAACTTGTGAAAAAGACATAAAAGAAAAAATATATTGAACATTAATACATATATAAAAGTGTAAAACTAACAATGATTACTTTTAATAATAAATGTGATTATTCATTGACACATATGATTTCAGGTGTTACAGTGTATCTACAGTTATATATCTACAGTAGAGAAAGAAAAGAACCGAGCTATTTTGTCAAACTGACAGTTCTTCTTCGAAAAATTTCCTAAAAAAACCATTGAAATGAATATTGTGTCGCAAAGCTTGTGTGATACATGTCAGTATCTAGGTTTTTACAAACATGCAGTCATCACACGATTTTTATTTAAATATATCCCAATAAATTCTTCAAAATTATTAGCGCGACTCTATTCAAAGAAACGAGATATTAAGCGTAAAAACTATTATGATGCATTGGAGATTACACCAAAAGCTACTCAAAGCGAAATAAAATCGGCATACTATATGTTGTCTCTACAATATCACCCTGACAAAAATAATAGTGATTACGCAAAACAGAAGTTCCAAGATATCTCGGATGCCTATGAAGTACTTAGTAATCATGAACAACGTAAGAATTATGATCGGCATATGATGATACATCAACAACCAGTAATAAATGTTAGAGAATCTGCACATGGAAAACAGATCTATACAGGAGTTACAAAAATCTACAACTTTGATGCATGGACGCGGGAGCATTATGGAAGACAATTCGAAAAAGATCGTATTAGGAGAGAAAACTATCGACAATATAAAAAAACGGAAGAAATCGTCATTCAAAAGAAAGAAAAACATTCTCCCTTTACAAAATATATCATTTATTTTTTAACTCTAATATTCATGATTGCGCTACATTACATAAGAAATGATGATGTACCAGTACATAAGGCGGAAACATATAAAAAATAGTGAAGTGAATACAAATTAGTTGATTTATTTATTTATTATGTATAAATTTGTATATTTACCTCAGCTTTTACATGTACAAATCAATATTTAATCTTATTTGCTAATAATAAATTTGAAACATTAAATCAATATAAATATATATTAGTTATATAATTTTGTATAGAAAAATATTTAGAAAAACACTGATTTGTTACAGTACTCTACAGAAATGATTTTTAAATATAATTACATATACTATTTTTGTTCTATGTTGTGTCTTCTGTATACTTGATCCCTTTCACAAATGCTAAAAACAAATTTTTCTACAGAATTTTATTTGGTATATTTAAGAATTAAAGCCAATAATTTTTAGAGAGAAAGGGAAAGAGGGAGAGAGAGATGTATAAAAAATATAAAAATATACATTCAATTTTATAAAATATATTTTTATGATATCCTGTATTATACAAAAAAAAATCAAAGCATTTTTTACTGTACAATTATGTTTTAAAAACACAGTCATTCGTATATCTTACATCTTACTATAAGTATAAAAGATGCAGTATTTCAAAAATATATTAACATTCTAAAATACCATTATTAACATAAAATATAACAATAAAGTAATCAAGTGAATGTAATAACATAAGCTATGTATGTTTATAATATCTACAGAAAACTCCATTAATTACTGCTATCAACCAAACTGGACTTCAAATTATTGTCACCATTTGCGATCAGTTCTCCATCCAACGTGGCATATCTTATGGCTATTACAGACGGCCCTATTATAGACGAAATCACATCTGATTATATAAAATTAGATATGCTGAAATATGAATTTATATCTTATTATATATAATTCAACATGCTACACTAGCACTAACTACATGAATTAAAGAATGATTATACATGATTACCCGAGCAAAAATTGTCATGTTTGATCGCATATAAAAAAAAAAATATATATATATATTAGATTTACTGGAAAGTTCTGTCCGTTTTTGAATAAAAAAAAATAATACATTTTCAATATATTTATTAATTTACTGAACAATATAATTTCCATCGTTATTAATGATCTCTTCCCAGCGTGATGGTAATTTGTGGATTCCATTTCTGTAGAATGACTTTTCTTTGGAGGCGAAAAACCCAAACAGTACTCGGCTATCGGACAGAACTTTCCGGTAGACCTTTTATATATATATATATATCCTCCTCAGTTCTACGTTTCTTAGTAAAAACATGGTGACCTCTCTCATATATCTGTGGTGTATGCTGATTGTTCACAGGCATATGGAACCTACAGTTTAACACCGGTTTCGAACGACACATTTTAAAGAGACGTTACGCCAAGATATTCTCGGATATCGAGGTTGCCACTTCTTTCTGAGAGGAGACACGAGCATAAATATTTTGGCTTCTACCGGGATCGAACCTGGGACCGCTAGTATAGCAGACCATCAGTGCGCTGTCTGCTATGCCACGCTCGCGCTCATATATATATATACCAGGTGTAGAAGTATGAAGCCGGAATTTCTCTATAGATGGTGCTAGCCATCAGTTTAGGGACCGTAAGACCGCTTCTGCAGCGCCATCATCTTCCTCTAACAGCTGACGAAGATTTTCAACATACAACAACCCAAGTTCCATACACCGGTATATTTTTCTATAACCTTAAACATGCCGAGTTTTGTGCCTACGAACTACGATTTACGGACAGCATTGGTTTTTTGTTATCATTTGAAGAAAACTGCTGCAGAATCGCATGGAATGCTTGTCGAAGCTTACGGTGAACATGCTCTTGGCAAAAAACACAGTGTTTCGAGTGGTTCAAAAAATTCAAAAGTGGTGATTTTGACGTGAGAAACGAAGAGCGTGAGAAACCACCGAAAAAGTTCGCAGACGAATTGCAAGCCTTATTGGATGAAAATGATACTCAAACTCAACAAGAACTCGCGGATGAATTGAATGTGACGCAGAAAGCTGTCTCAGTTCGTTTGAAAGCCATGGGAAATATTTAGAAAATGGGAAAATGGGTTCCGCATGAACTGAATGAAAGACAGCAAGAAAATCGAAAAACCACTTGTGAAATGCTGCTCGACAGATACAAAAGAAAGTCCATCGTATTATGACAGGTGATGAAAAATGGGTATATTTTGAGAATCCTAAGCGTCAGAAATCATGGGTGAATCCAGGTGAACCATCGACATCCACTGCAAGACCAAATCGCTTTGGAAAAAAGACAATGCTCTGTGTTTGGTGGGATCAGAAGGGTGTAATCTATTATGAGCTGCTAAAACCTGGTGAAACCGTTAACACTGATCGCTACCAACAGCAAATGATCGATTTAAATTGAGCATTGCGTGAAAAACGACCGGAATATGGAAAAAGGCAGCACAAAGTCATTTTGCTCCATGATAATGCCCCATCACACACAGCAANGGTGGGATCAGAAGGATGTAATCTATTATGAGCTGCTAAAACCTGGTGAAACCGTTAACACTGATCGCTACCAACAGCAAATGATCGATTTAAATTGAGCATTGCGTGAAAAACGACCGGAATATGGAAAAAGGCAGCACAAAGTCATTTTGCTCCATGATAATGCCCCATCACACACAGCAAAACGGGTCAGGGAAACGATCGAGGCGTTCAATTGGGAAATACTAACGCGTGCGGCTTATTCTCCAGACTTAGCTCCGTCCGATTATCATCTATACGCATCAATGGGACACGCTCTCGCTGAACAACGCTTCAATTCGTATGAAAATGTACGAAAATGGCTCGATAGCTAGTTCGCTTCAAAAGAAGAAATGTTTTTTTGGCGTGGCATTCATAAACTGCCGGAGAGGTGGGAAAAATGTATAAATAGCAATGGATATTATTTTGAATAAAATATTTTTTATCATTTTCAAACAACAAACGTGTAATTTTTACAAAAAAATTCCGGTTTTATACTTCTACACCTAGTATATAATTATTTACAGCTATATATATTATTAGACCTTATAAAGTATTATAGCATATAATGTAGTATAATTTTATATTATATATCATGGCTTCACATATTCAGTCATGACCATTCATAATATGTACATCAAATATGAAACTATATCATCAAATACATCAAATATGTAAACCTGATGCAGTCTGGTCATCCAGTCGAATCATGATTAGACATGAAAGTCATATATGTTCAGATATGAAATCAGACTGGATCATATGGTTACATATCTGATATATTTGATTATACAGTTTCATATTTAATATACATACTATAAATGACCCTGCATAACTAAATATGAAGCCATATATGATAACATTACACTATATGTGGATTAATCTAATTGTATATAACTATGAATAATTATAAGGAAAACAGCTTGTATAATACTTACATAATGAGCCACCCTGTATACGACTCCTATATAATTGTAAAGATTACTCATAACTCTATCTTTTATAACATATATTAACCCTTAGCGAACGAATGCCGCCATATTCGCGACATTATATTCGCGAATATGGCGGCATTCCTTCGCTAAGGGTTAAAATGAAAAGCATCTGTGAGTTTTAATTTTTTTTAACCACCTTATTATGATTTTAATCACCTCATTTCGCCGATATCACACTCTCTTAAAATTTACTTAATTTCAAGGACAGGAAAGATGAACTTTTAATCTTTTGATGTAATGTATAACACATATACAAGATGTCCCATTTTATTTTTGACACTCAGATATCTTGAAAAATTTTTTTAAAGAAAATGTTTCAAGCAAAAGTTGTAAAATTTCAAAGGAGAGTTATGTTTATATCATTGCCATTAAAATAATTTTTTTAAATTACTTTAAGGTTAACTCGATTTCAAGATTTTGAATGATAAAAGCAGAATGAGACATACCATGTGTGTATATATATTTGTACAATATATATTATCCAATATAAAAAGAATAAGAATTAATTATGAAATCCACGAGAGAAGTTATATGTAAAGAATATTAATATTAAACATATTATGTTGTAAGTGAAAGCCTTTTAGATACTTTAGAAAAAATAAATATATATAACAAGTAACATTACATATGAATTAATATGGTCTATAAACTGGCAATCCTGATGGCAGTGGCATCGGCATAGCTACAGGTCCAGTTGGATAAGGTATGAATGGTGCTATTCCAGGAAAATTTGAAATGGTTGGATAACCAGGTGTACTGCTTGTGGAGTATCCTTTTCTTATTAGCTCCCTCAATTTATCTACTTTGACCTTGCGCAAATGCATTAATTTTCTTCTGGTTAAAAACTGGTCCAGGAATTCGTCTACCTCGATATCACCCGTCATAAACTTTTCTGCTACTGTCTACATATTGGAATTGGAACATCATAGTAATATTTTGACTAAACATTCTTTTATTCAATATATTAATGAATCTCAATATATTTATGATATCTTACTTCTGATTCTTCTTCAATTTCTGCAGTGGCTGCTTGCAATAGGTCCATAGCGGTATCAGCGGTCATAGAACCTGACTTGTCACCTATAAATATAACTGTATAAATAATTATAGTAATGCATACGTGTGTGTAACACACATAAAGTATTCTATTTTAATCAATAACTTTATCATGATAGTTTTATACACAAAATAATAAGAATCATTTGATAATGCTTAATCTTCGCATGTTAGTGCATCAATGCATTTGTAAAATAAAGTGGAATTTTTTGTATCGCTGTGTTCCAATATTCACTAGTAAAAGTATCACCAGTAAAAATCTATAATTCATATTATGTGTACTAAAGATTTTCAGTATTAGTAATAAATATTGAAACATAAACTATGTATATCTGTTTCCCTCATAATTAATTTGACCTATATGTGTATGTGTGTGTATGTGTGTGCACATGTGGTATGTGCTTAGATTTTGATCTTTTACAAATATATATACAAGATGATCCACTTATACTTATTGTCAAAAAAAAGTTAAACATCTTAAATATTTGACTTGTTTTTGACAATACTAAAAATATCTAAGGAAAAGTTGCACTGTACAATAATCTACAATAACTTACGTATTTCATCTAATTTTTCCTTGACACTAGTACATAATTCATTAGCTTGCTCACTTAATTCTTTCAAAATTTGTTTGTCCTCTTCCAATGCAGGTTGTTTTGATAGATTGAATTCTGCCAAAGATCTGTTGCTCGCCATTAACATTTCCTTCTCAGTCTCGAGATCTTTAAACTAATTTTATTAAAATCAATCAATTTCTTTAATCATATTTCTGGTTGCGAACTAATTCATATTAAATATATGATAACTGATTAACACTTAATCGATACTATCTATATGTTAAAATCATACCTGTTTTATGTCTTTCATGATGTCTTCGAATTTTCTATCATTATTTAATAGTTCTTTTAGTTCGTCGTTATCTAAGTGAGACAGCAAACCTAATGCCGCAGGTATATCCGGCTCTTGACTTGATTTGTACATTTCTTGACGATCAATTTGCGACGAAATTCTAATCAACTCTCTTATACTGTAAATTACGTGTCTTTATGTTCCTAAACGGAAAACTTACCGAACATACATTCACGATAACGCGATGACAAATTTACTCACGAACAATCGTTTAACTTTATTTTTCGCTGGAATGCTAGTAGATAAAATTAGACACGCCTGATACACAACTGGTCTGTTCGTTTTAGCTGAACTGTAGGCCTGTTGAGTAACTTTTAACGACAGTGGCTACATTCAGGGAGTACGCTGTCAGCGCTAAGTCTGGAGGTCTGTTTTTTTCGAGGTAGTGTGGTCAGTGCAGTGCATGAAAGTGTAGCTTTGAAGTGCATGTAAGCGTAACGGAAATTTATACGAAAAGTCTCTATCAGGTATGTGGCTTGCATTATATTGAAATGTGTGAAACATCTTTATATTTTATTTTCAAAAATTGTTAATATTACAGAAGAATCAAATAATGCCATGTGATGCGCCATGTTGTTTACTACACTCTAGCGTTTAAGCGGTGCGGCAAAAACGAACAGACCTCTTCATTGCACTTTTGCACTAAACTGAACTATTCTGTACTAGTCTTTCCCAATGCGGCATCGGTTCAGTTCAGTGCAGTTCTAGTGCAGTTTTAATGTAGCGAAAAAAAAACAGACCTCGGATCTACAATAGAGAGTTTTTAATATACGTTTCTCAGATACGGTGAACGCTAAAATGTGTTCCGATATTCACTGCCGACACTCCAAATCTATAGATACGTGACATAAACTGTAGATTCGCAATGCTAGCAATGAATACTGGAACGCACTTTAGCGTTCACCATATCTGAAAACACTAGTGGTGCATATCAATTGGGTCCACATTACAATTGGGGAGAATTCACACCTCGACAGAAAAGCAGAAAAGCAACAGCCAATCAGGACTCGTGCTGGTAGTAAGCAGTAGATATAAACCAGGAACTGTCGATTACTAGCACAAGTTCTAATTGGCTGTTGCTATTCTGTTTTTCTGTCAAAATGTGAATTCTCCCTTAGGTCGGTATCAGACTATCGACTGAAACGCATCCTTTACTACATGAAATTTCATCTTAACCCAGGCTATACAACGGAACGGATAAGATGGAAGAAAATGGCATGCCAAGTGTTGTTAAATTTCAGTGAGATGTTTATTTGCTCCAGTTGCATAGGATGGGAAGCTGCATAGGTATAACCAGGGCAAGAAATGCCTCAGTCAATGACACATCGGAAAACTCGTCAAGAACAAATTCGGGTAAGATTATGATGAAATATCTATCGCATAAAAAATATATCAGATATCAACTAACCTTGAAGTTCATTTAAACTTTATTTTTGTCTCTGTATTCGTGGTATATGCTGCCCGCTAAACGTATGCATCATTTATCTTTGTAAATTAATATTAATGTAAATTTCTGTTTATTATTGAAATTACTGTAATATAGCAATTTGAATGTAACGATATCAGATATGAAAATTATATGTTGTTATATAGGTTGATTTTAACTCAAAACTTTTTAATAAATTCAGCTTAATGTAATTTCCTGTTTTTATAGTAAAATTTAGTTCAAATCACTAATTAGTTTAGATGATGATATCAGCATTTGTTATATGTTTTAATAAAAAACAAGAGATTAATTTCTGCTTATTTTTTCGTATGTAGTAATTCATAATAGGTTTCATATTTTTTATATAGGTAATTCGAGAAAAAATCATCTCTTGTGTCACGAGGTAATTAGATGGAGATCGGATGTTCCTTTAACTGAAGGTCAACTGAGAAGTAAACGAGATGAATTTTGGGATACTGCACCAGCCTTTGACGGTCGTAAAGAAATTTGGGATGCATTGAGGGCAGGTGCAACAGCAGCTGAAGCACAGGATTATCAGTTGGCACAGGCAATATTAGATGGAGCTAATATCTCTGTACCAAGTGGTTTTTTAACTGAATGTTACGATGAGTTGGGGACTCGTTATCAAGTACCTATTTATTGTTTATCTTACCCAATTAATATTGTAAAAGAAGACAGTGGAAGGGATTCCCCTGCTGATTGTTCAGGTAAGTCAAATTTTTGAAGTATCTCTGTATAATAATGTATTTTTTTTCTTTTTACCATGAGTCAAGTTTACTTGTTTTATCAATTCTGCACAGAACCAGTTGATGGAGGAACAGAACAAACTTTAAGACTTAGACTATCAACTACTTTAGGGGAAGTTAAACTACCTGTTTATAGCAAAGACACTATTGGTAACGCTAAGAAAAAATTACAGGTTTGTTCAAATGTTAATCATATTTAGTTAAGTAATAGCATGGAGAATACTGATAAATTATTATTGTGTGTATGATATTTACAGAGTCAAGAAGGTTTGGAACCCTCACGTCAGAGGTGGTTCTTTGGTGGTAAACTGCTGAGTGATAAGATGCATATAGAAGAAGCTAAAGTACAGCCAGGTTATGTAATACAAGTAATTGTGAATCCAGAAAGAACAGATAACAGCCCTACCAAAAGTAGTTGAACTTTTGCGTAAGCACGACAAAAGTACATCATGCTCTGTAAGCAATCAGCAATAGGCATATTTTTATGCTTGTTAACAAAACTTGTTAACCATTTATCAAAGTAAGAGTATATTTTTTAATTTTGTATCATATACACACACACACACACACACACACACACACACACACACATGTATATCCATATTTAATCATGAGTATTATCAGAGGTGATAAATTATTTTAGAATAAATTGGACATAACAAAATTTTGTATTTAACAGAACTTTGCTATTTAATGAAATCATGGGTTAAGTGCAATCATAGTTTCTCTTTCTCGATATTGTATATTTACCTATAACTCGGCACATACACATTATCTCGTGCAATATTATGTAAGAGAACCGTTTAGCTAATGCTACTAAGTATAGAATGAAGAAATTATATCTTCAGTTATTTGGTTTCCTTTAATATGATGTATTTTTGATAAAAAAATTAACTGAAATATATGACTCATTTATATTTGAACAAAAAATACAAACATACTATTTTCCAATAATTTCATTGTAATATTTGAGTTTGTGCAGTTTTATAGTACGTTGCACATGAAATTTTTAAAAATTTGGTTCAACTGTTAAAGTGTGAACTACGTCTGTAGATGTGTATAACGAAAATTTTCATCGTGTACAAACAGCGCCTAAAGGCATCCAACGTTCAGCGCTCACTGTGTGCGAATAGCCGGTTTAGATCTCACTTAGTAACATTTAAATGCACGCAAGTGCTGCATCGTGACTATTAGCTCTGCGCTGCACATAGCGGTCATTTTATTTCCGAATGACCCATAATCTAAGAGTCAATGATTATGTGAAAGTTACTATTATATAAAACAGTGCTCAGAATTAGATACACTTTTCGGACCGATTTCGGAGGCAACGTCTAATGCGTTTCCTCCGAAATAGGATCAAAAAAGGCAATTTAATTCCGAACAGTGATGTAAAAAATTCATATACAATATGGTTATTTATGAGATAATGTTTTAAGCATATGGTATATTGCTTTTGTAAAAGGTGAAAGATTTCTGCAACTTTCGGTCTTGTTAATGTCACATTACATTACATACCAAGAAAAAACACTGATATTAAGTCAGCAGTAGTGAAAAAAAAATATATATATAATACTCATATTGTGCGAAACAATATATATAGCTGTTTTCATAATCTACGTTTTGCTTGCAATTACCAACTTATTCTCTCGTAATTTTTGTTGCAATCTAAGTATTGTGATAAGAAGATAATTTAAGGTTTCTGACTATTCGCTGCAATAGTCTTTGATAATGTAAAAAGCAAAAAAACAGCAAAAATTCTTGCGTTATATATTCAAATAAAAAGATACAAAATTTTTTTATATTTGTAATCGATTCAGCATACTTGTAAAATTGGACAAACGCATTTCTTTTAGTTGAACAATTAATAAATAGTCACAAAATTAACATTGACAAAATCATGAGAAGAAAGGTTAGAAAAAAAAGTTTCCATATCAAATTAATTTCGTGACCATTTGTTGTTCGAACAAAAGAAAAATGTTCGTCTAATTTTACAAGTGTGCTGAATCAGTCATAAATGTCATTTTGAGGATATATCTTTTTATTTGAACATGTAGCGTAAGAATCCTTGGCATACATTTTCTTGCTTCTGATATCATCAAACAAGAATGGTTGCAGCGAGAACTAGTCAGGAACTTTAAAAGTCTAACTTTTGATTTTTGATTATCTTATTCAATGAAATATCACAATACTTCCAATATGTATGCATTCTTTAGACTAATTTCTTTATTCAACATACAATCGTTGAAGTTGTATTATTATATTTTCTAATGAAGATCTAAATTTGTTATAAGTCCAACATTTGTCTTGTAAATATAATTAAAGTATTGAGTATGATTTTAACAGCTGACGACTTCTCGAGGAAAGAAATAATAAGACTAAGAGCACATTTGCATTTATCTACATTATATGAACAAAAATTACGAATTCTATAGCCTCAGTATAGAGGTTTATTATTATTATATATAATTA